TAAACAACATTCTTATCAACGGAGAAAAGATTGAAGTTGTCAAGGACTTCATTCTTCTTGGATTAACTATTAACAGTCATGGAAGCAGCAGTCAAGAGATCAAACGATGTGTATTGCATTAGGCAGATCGGCTGCATAAGACCTTTTTAAAGTGTTGAAGAGCAAAGATGTCAGCTTGAAGACTAAGATGTGCCTGACCCAAGCCATGCTATTTTCAATAACCTCATATGCATGCAAAAGCTTGACAGTAAATAAGGAAGACCATAGAAGAATTGACACATTTGAGTTATGGTGTTGGAGGAGAATATTGAAAGTGCCATGGGCTGCCAAAAGAACCAACAGATCCGTTTTGGAAGAAGTGCTGCCAGAGTTCTCTTTGGAGGCCAAGATAGCCAAACTTGGTCTCTCATGCTTCAGACATATTGTCAGGAGGGACCAGTCACTAGAGAAGGATGTCATGTTTGGTAGGGTGGAGGGTCAGAGAAAAAGAGGAAGACCCCCAATGAGATGGACTGGCCAAGTGTCAGTATCAATGGACTCAAATATGGAAACAGTAGTGAGGTTGGCCCAGGATCGGGCAGTGTTTTGTTCTACTATGTATAAGGTCGCTATGAGTCGGTGCCGACTTGATGGTACCTAACAACAACAACAGTTGCAGTTTTGAAAATATGATAGCTTTTGTCTGTGGAAAAGAAATGTGCTGCACAAGACCTCTTTTAAAGTGTTCAAGAGCAAAGTTATCAGTCTGAGGACTAAGGTGTACCTGATCCAAGCCATGGTATTTTCAATAGTTTCATATGAATGTGAAAGTTGGGCAGTGAATAAGGAAGACTATAGAAGAATTGATGTATTTAAGTTATGGTATTAGAGAAGAAAACACTAAAAGTACCATGAACAAACAAATCAGTGTTGGAAGCCAGAATGCTCCCTGGAAGGCAGGATAGTGAGACTTTCTCTCTCCTTTGGACATATTATCAGGAGGACCCAGTCCCTGGAGAAGGACATCATGTTTGATAAAGTGGAGAGTCAGTGAAAAAGAGAAAGACACCCAACGAGATAGATTGGCACAGTGGCAGCAGCAATGGGCTCAAACATAGCAATGATTGTGAGGATCCTTCTACTTCCTTAAGTTTTGCCAACCTTGTGGTGCTGCAGGGTAAACTGCAGTTCAAACCCACCAGCCTTGGAAACCTGATACAGGGTTGCTATGAGTTGAAACTGACTCAACAGCATTTTAACAATAACAAGAACAATTATTCCAAAACTCAGGGTAGTAGGATAGAAGTATCCCCATTTCACAGATGAAGCAACTAAGGCTCATTGTTGTTGTTGTTGTTGTTAAGTGCCGTCAAGTCAGTTTCGACCCATAGCGACCCTGTACAGGGTTTCCGAGGGTGTAAATCTTTACGGGAGTAGAAAGCCTCAACTTTCTCCCGTGGAGCACCTGGTAGTAGCAGGGCTTATATGTGATAACAGGGCTTACATGTCTATTTCTCTACCCTACCTAAATTGCTCATTATGAACAATCAGGAGAAGGTAGGAGATAATCCTTAGCCTCATCCACTCAGCTTGGGTGTTTTTAGAATCTTGGGTCCCATAAGACTTGTTCTCTAAATATACCTGGTATGTGTGTATATACACATGGGCAGACCTAAAGACATAGCATGGACAGAATGAAGCACAAGCCAGGAAGAAGAAAAGGAGCAAGAAAGAGTAGAGATGGGGCAGAAGCTAGAGTCAACAAAGTCTTCCTCCTGATAGAGAATGCTCCCCCTCCCATCCTTCCCCATTTTACTTTCTCCTCCAACCTTATCCCAAGATGGATCCAGAACCCTGACTGTCACTTCAAGCAACTCCCACCTCCCTATCACTGAATGACTCAGAACTCTCACCCACCAGCCAGGTGAAGTAGATGGTCTGTCACTCTGGACCCAAAAGAGCCAGTTGTCTGTTCTCTCTCTCTGTGTGTGTCTTTCTGGATGTCTGTCTCTCTCTCTCTCTCTCGCTCTCATACACACATACGACACATATACCTTCCTGGTCTCCAAGGGTGAACCAACCCTGGGACTAGGGATTGGTAGGGGTCAGGATTGGCAGTTGCCCCATCACCATACCCAGGATACTAGTTGGGAAGCTCTCCACCTTGTAGGTCAGGCCACTGCTGTTTCCAGCTATGAGGGATGATTGGTTTCAACCATGAACCCTTAGCTTCTTACCTTGTGGATCCAAAACCTCAATAAAATGCATCTCTGTAAGGAGTCCTTCTCCACCAATGTCCTGTTAGGCCAGGTCTGAACCTGCCTCTGAGGAGGAACAGAGAAATGTTACCCTTAGGGTCAGGCAGGGCTTCCAGGCCGTTCCAGCATCACTGCAAAAGGATTCCTGCCCTTGTGGTCTTTGTCGTTGTTAAGCGTCAACTTGGTTCTGACCTATAGTGAGTCTGTAGAGGGTTTCTGAGGAGTGATGGGTGGGTTTGAACCAGCAACCTTGATGTTCAAACTGATCTTTCAGTTCAGCATTTAAGAAGATGATTTTTTATATCTTAAAAGCAGCACCTGTTCATTATGGAAACACTGTTGTTTTTAGGTACTGTCAAGTTTGACCCATAGTGAACCTCTACACGACAGAAAGGAACACTGTCAATCCTACACCGTCCTCATGATTGTTACACTTGAGCACATTGCTGCTGGCACTGTGTCAGTCCACCTCCTTGGATGTCTTCCTCTTTTTCACTGACCCTCCACTTCACCAAGCATGATGTTCTTTTCCAGGGACTGGACCCTCCTGATAACATGTCCAAAGTATGCGAGATGAAGGCTTATCACCCTGGTTTCTAAGGAGCACTTCGACTGTATGTCTTCCAACACAGATTGGTTTGTTCTGGCAGTACTTGAATATTCTTCTCCAACACCATAACTCTAATGCATCAATTCTTCTATGGTCTTCCTTATTCATTGTTCAACTTTCAGATGCCTTTGAGGTTGTTGAAAGTACCGTGGCTTGGGTCTGGTGCACCTTAGCCATCAAAGTGACGGTTTTGCTCTTGAATACTTTAAAGAGGTCTTGTGCAGCACATTTACCTAATGCAATATGTCATTTGATTTCTTGAGTGATGCTTCCTTGAGTGTTTATAGTTGATCCAAACAAAATGAAGTCTTTGACAACTTCAGTCTTTTCCCCATTGATGATGAAGTTTTTACTGCTCCAGTTATGAGAATTTTTGTTTTCTTTACATTGAGGTGCAATCCATACAGAAGGCTGTGATCTTAGATATTCATCAATAAGTACTTTAAGTCCTCTGCACTTTCAGCAAACAAGGGTGTGTCATCTTCAATTACTATTTACATCTTTTGAAATAGGTCTCAAAATTCTCTGTTTATATACATACACATTTTTATAAGTCAATTCATGTTTTATACATTATTTTGTGTGCATATTTAATTTTAAAATATAATACTGTAAGTAGCTTTGGTAGCATAGTGGATTACAAGTTGGGCTGCTAACCCACAAGGTCAGCATTTGAATCTACCAGTTGCTCTGTGGGAGAAAGCTGAGACTTTCTTCTCCCGTAAAGATTTGCCGCATCCAACCCCTGTACAGTGTCGCTCTAAGTTAGAACCAACATGATAGCACACATCACCATCACTTCCATATTAATACTGTAAAGAATTCTGTGGTGAAGATGCACACCAGTCCCCAGTAACAAATATTTCAATTGTTTCTAGCTTTTCAGTATTATAGACAGCACTCAGATAAACAACACAGTATCTAAATATTTGCACATATCCTAAATACTTTCTTGGGAGTGTGTTGGCTCCATATGATAAGCACTGAGCTGCAAACCACAAGTTCTGCAGTTCAAGCCCACCAGCTGCTCTTTAAGTGAAAGATGAGACTTTCTGCTCCTCCAAAATTTTTTTTTAAAGGTTTGGAAATCCTATAGCTTGCTATGAGTCAGAACAGACCTGAAAGCACTTAACAAAAACTAAAAATAGGCAATTTTTTCCCCTTAGTCTAAATTTCCCACCAAATAATGATCAGATCAATACCAGTTCTAATGTTTGATGTTCCAATTAGGATTAGGTGAGTATAGCAGAAAAAGCATGGGATATGAAGTCACATGGGCTCTGTGATCAAATCTCAGCTCTGTACTTACCATGTGATTTGGGAAAGTCATATAGCCAGTCTGTGTTTTCTCAACCTGAAGATGGGGCTATTATATAAATATGTTTTGTAAACCAAGAGATTCTACCAAAGGCAAATTTATTATTCCATATCCTGTTTACATCCAGCCTGTGGCTGGTACTCAGTGTGGTAGAAGAGGGTCTCTCCAAAGCTCCCCGTTGGCGTTGCCTGGTGACCTCCCCAGAGCTCAGTTCCCATGGGACCTTCTGAGAATAAGAATAGTGCAAGAAGGACAAGATGACTTTTTCCCTTGTGTCCCCCACTTTGATTCCCAGGGGATGCTGTCTATTTGGAAAGTGAGCCTCAAAGGCAAGAGTACGTTATGAATGATTATGGCTTCATCTACCAAGGAAACAAGAACTGGATCCGCCCATGCCCATGGAACTATGGACAGGTAAGTGACTCTCAGCCCTGCTAATGGCCTCTGCATATCCTGGGCTCATGAAGACAAGGAAGTGGCAGCAGTGTGTAGAGGGGTGCTCCTTACTTAGGGTTCACCTAGAACTGCAAGCAAATGGTAACCAGAGGAGGAACCATAGCAAGTGGTTGGGTCCATTCTTTGCTGACAATGTCTGAGTTGGACCTGACATGATAAGGAATGTAAGACACCCCACAGTAACTCCACTGGGTATGAGTTTGTAAAAGACAGCAATGACTGTAGCAATGATGATACCTGTATTTTTGTTAGCACACTGTGTTTCCAGGGGGTTTTCTACTCTCTCCCCTCATCCTTGCAAGCTTAGATGAAGCAACCTCAGATTCATCTTGACATTTGCCTCCTGGACACCTCATAAAAAAAGCAGAGTTGATAAGCAGCAAGACATTGCCCTCACAGTTACTATTGCCTTTTTATTTGTTTGCTTGTTTTGATTGTATGTCTTTTACGTTACAAGTGTGATACACGATTGTGCCAATATTTTCAAAATAGTGTGACAAAAATGAACATCTGGAACATGAAGGTTTTCCTAAGCACTGTCACTAACTTGGTTCTGCTACATTATATTTTCTCCACATATTCTCAAACATATGATTTCATTTGTAAAAATGACATCATAGTAATCTTGATGCACTGTGATGCATAATGCCTTTATAAAAGCCTGACTCTCACTTAAAGCTTGGCTCACAGCAGATTCTTTAGGAAGTTCAGCACCAAGCCAGGGGGATGGGCACTCTGGACATAGTACTGACACCAGACTACTTTGGGGAGGGAGAGGATTAGCTGGGAAGACCTGGAGTCCTTCTGGAGTTTTGTATCAGTTTGAAATGGGTTCCTCTTCTGTATCTAACCAGATAAAACCCTGATACATGGGGTCTTTGGGTCAAACTGGGCCCTGGGTGTATCTACAGTCAAAATGAGACATGGCAGCCTCAACTGCCCCAACTCACATCCCCAACTGCTCATTCATCGTGAACACATTGGGGATCAAGGGTAGTGCCTAGGCAGGAGTTTTTTTTTTTTTTGTTTTGTTTTAATCATCTACGAGAAACAGAAGTGAGCAGGTGCGGCTTTCTGAGTCCCAGTTCCTTCCTTTTCTCTCTGCCTCTCATATTCAGTTAGCATACACTAAATGCTTGGTAAGGTAGAGAGTCAGTTAGGAAGAAGAAGCCCCTCAATTAGATGGATTGACACATTGGCTACAACCATGGGCTCAAATATAGCAATAATTGTGAGGATGGTGCAGGGCCAGGCAGAGTTTCATTCTATTGCACATAGTGTGGCTTGGAGTTGGAGTTACTTGACTTGATGAAACCAAACAACAACAACATATTGAGTGCCTGCTAAGTACCAGGAAGGGTGCCAAGTGCTGGAGATGTAGAAATGAATTTAAAAAAAATTAAAAAGCACTCTGGTCCCAAAGCATAGTGTGGACTCAGATATATAAACAGATCCCTTATCAGGCAGTAGGGTATGTAATAATCAAAACAAGGGTGGGCATAGGGGGTTGGGGTGATCTAGAGGAAAGGCACTTGATTGGGTACACGGGTGCCAGGGGAGAGAAGTTAGTGTCTGTACAAGTGAAGAAACAATGGAAGAATATCTCAAGCCAGAGGAAGACTTGAGCAAAGATACAAAGATGAAAAATGATATGAATTACCACCAAAGTTACAAGGAGTCTGATATTCCTGGAGCAAAAATGGTGAGGCAAGGGCTTTTGAATCATGAGGCTGAAGAGGTAGGTGGTAGCCAGATCAGGGAGGGGTTTGAGGGCCTTGTAAGGGATTGGAATTCTGGTTCTGTAGGATGGAACAGGCCTTTGAAAGCTTTAAAGCAGAGTGAATTGGTCAGACTGTCCCCTGGGGATGATGAGCCAGAGAAGCTTCCAAATTCTTTTTATTACTCAGTTTTATATGAGAATAAATCCACTCATTCAGACTCATTCAACAAAGATGTATGGAGTCCCCGCTATGTGATGGGCACTGTGTCCAGTCTGGAATCTGACGATTATTGGGAACATACCCAGAACTGTGGAGTTAACCAGGTTCAGACTCAGGCAAGGAAAGGCCCCTGTGGAAATGGCACCTATGGCAAGCTTGAAAGGCAAGGAGGAGTCAGCCTGCTTTGTTTGGGTGGAAAGTTTCCATAACTTGCTTATAATTAGTCCAGAGCCCTACTGAGTCATGGGTGCTTTGGCTTGTTGGCGCCATCACATCAGCAATGCCAGTCATCAGCTCCGTCAGCAGATAGGGGTGGAATATGAGGCAACATGGTTTTAGCAAGAATATCCCAGAGCTACAGGAGTGTGGAGATTGCAGAGATGGAAGGGAGAAACAAAGCTTTCAGCCAGTCAGTCTTGTTGGGGAAATACAAAACAAGACAAAGAAAACCAAGAGAAACAATAGCTACTTCACAATGAAGGAGGAGGGTTTTGATTTGCAGAGTTTGCAAATCAGGTGAGTCATGGCCCCAGAGCTTTGAACCTGGCACATACCTAAGATGCAGCTAAAGACCATTCTATTTAGCACAGTTACCATCCACAATATATCAGAGAGTTGAGCAAGGTGGGCCATGTGTTTCTTCACATACACTCATGGTCTAGGCATGAGTCCCTCACCTCTCTACATCTCCTACTTGCAGTTTGAAGAGAGTATAATAGACATCTGCCTGAAGCTGCTAGACAAGAGTCTGCACTTCCAGATTGACCCCGCCACGGATTGTGCCCTACGAGGAAGCCCTGTCTACATCAGTCGAGTGGTGTGCGCCATGGTGAGGTCCAGGCTTGTGAATGGAGGGAGGAAGCAGTGCTGGGGGAGCCCTGTCCTCTCACAGTTGACCTCTGCAGTGGAGGTTTGAAGAGTCAAGAGGCAGGGGCCCCTCTGGCAAAGACATGTTGGAGAAGACTGACACCAGAATGTGTGCATAATAAGGTTTTCTCAACTGAGCTCAGATATAGCTAGGTGTGAGCAACCACCTCTATTAATTCCAAATTGCATGGGAAGGACTCCAGTTTGGAAAATGGTCTAGTCTAGTTGTTTCTAGATTTCATCTCTTCTGATGTATATTTAAAAAGCTCTCAGAGCCAACCAAGCTTCAACTTGGTGGTGGTGGTTATGTTACATGGAGTCGGTTCTGACTCACAGCGACCCTCTACAGGGTTTCCGAGGCTGTAAATCTTTATGGGAGCAGAAAGCCTCATCTTTCTCCCGTGGAACAATTGGTAGTTTTGAACTGCTGACCTTAAGGTTCACAGCCCGTTAAAGATTGGGATTTTGGTGGTGGATAGAAACAGAGTCATAAATTAATTAATAGTGGATCCTAAGTAAGAATAGTAAATCCCCTAACCCACGATTTACCCAGAAGGGCTGAAAGTTCCCAGGTATTAGAGTCAAGTCTTCGCTATGTCTCAGGTCTTTGGGTCTTGCAAATCAGTCACATATCATGTCTCGTTGAGGAAAAAAAAAAAATGCTTCTAATGCTTATATGTGTGTATATATGACTGATCTTCAGATCAACAGCAATGATGACAATGGGGTACTCAATGGAAACTGGAGTGAGAAGTACGTGGATGGGATCAACCCTGCGGAATGGACTGGAAGTGTGGCCATCCTAAAACAGTGGCACGCCATGGACTGCCAGCCAGTGCGTTATGGGCAGTGTTGGGTCTTTGCTGCGGTCATGTGCACAGGTAGGAAGTCTTGCCCAGATGTGGAAAGTGTCCATAGAAAGATAAAAAATACAACAGCTAATTGATTAGCTCTTCTGAACTGTTTTTACACAAGCCTCATCCAATTCCTACCAAGAAACATTTGAATGAGAGCCTTTTCCAGCTAAAAAGTTCCATCATTGACCTTAGACTTCACATACTTCTTGTTGTTAAGTGCTATGGAGTCATTTCTGACTCATAGGATTTCCAAGAAGCAGCTGATGGGTTTGAACCTCCAACTTTGCGATTAGCGGTTCAGCATTTATCCTACAGCACCACACTACACTTAGGCCTATTTTAAAGGTGGGCCTGGCACCCTTCCCTTTTTCTGAGCTTGGTCAACCCAGCAAAATATCCCTAACAGCCTGACTGGGAGTTTTCCAGGCAGGAATGAGATTGAGGCCTTGTAGTAAGGAGCTCTGGTAGCGTAGTGGTTACGAATCGGGCTGCGAACCTTAAGGTCAGCGGTTCAAAACTACCAGATGCTCCGCGGGAGAAAGATGAGGCTTTCTACTCCAGTAAAGATTTATACCCTCGGAAACCCTATACAGGGTTGCTATGGGTCGGAACCGACTTGATGGCACATAACAACAACAGTTAGGAGACTTACAAAGTGATGTGGTATGTGGGGTAAGTACTGGACTGCTAATCGTAAGGTTGGAGGTTCAAACCCATCCACTGCTACTTGGAGAGTTGCTGTGATAAGTACTCAACAGTACTTATCAACAACAACAACAAAAGCACAAAGAATGAACTTCATAGTGATGTACGCATGGAAGGTAATGTGAGTCTGAGTTGTGGTAGAGGCTATGGCCAGATAAGATGGCATCTTCATAAAATTACCTTAAATTTGGAGTTGTCACCAGTTTAAGGGGCCTGATTCAGTCCAGGAAATAGAGGCTGGGGGAAGATAAGAAAGAGGCAGTCCAGATAGGGAGTGAATACTACATTGTTGTTAAGTGTCGTCAGGTGGGTTCTGGCTCAACACTCTTGTATAGTTTCCCAGGCTGGAAATCATTGTGGGAGTAGAAAGCCTTATCTTTGTCCAACAAAACGAATGATAGGCTTCAACCTCTGACCCTATGATTTGCAGTCTAGTGCTTATCCTACAGAGCCATGTGCTCTTGGATGATACACTGTTGTTACTAAGTGCTGTCAAGTCACTTCCAACTCATGGCGACCCTGTATAGAGTTTTCTAATTTCTCATTTGAACCGCTGACCTTGAGCTTCTAACCAACCTTGCGGTCCAGTGCATTATCCTGCAGCACCACACCAGGATTCTGAATACTACGTTAGTAAAAGAAAATCTGAAAAAATGAACATAGGGAAAGGGAGGCAAATGGAAGTTGGTTTGTGTGTGGCAGAAGAAGCAAGCAAAAGGAGGAAATGTGTATGTGTGTTGGGGAGAGGGGAAATCCTGAGGAAACTCATCAGTAACAGGAGTATAGACTTCTACTGCGGGCCCTCCCCTTTACTGAAGTCTCCATGCGTAGGACAGCTCTCAGCCTTTCAGCATGCATCCAAAATCAGGATGTTGTTATTCTTGTGATCTGGGAAAACAACTCAATACAGCGTTCACTAACAACATTCTCTAGTTCAACCCAGGGAGGCCAGATCTGTCCATAGTCCTTATTGAGGACTCAGATCTTGTGTATAGAAATTCCTGTGGGACAAAGCCTGATGCAGTCTATGTGCATGTACATAATGCGTGTGGTGGGCTTGTCTCTGGACTCTCACAGTCCAGAGTGCCATGTGACCAGTCATGGAGGAAACCCAGAGAACCCCAGTCTCTCACAAGTGCATGAGGGGTTTCTGTCAATTCTGTCAGGGAGTGATTTTACATGGGTTGATGATAAAGAAGTCCTGAGTGTAGTCCTCTGCAACTCTAGGGTCTTACCTTGAGTTAGATGCTTTAATTACTCAGGGATAATGAAGAAGGAGTTCAATAACTTTGATACAAATCATGGATATATAGGTGAACTGGGAGGTTTGAGGAAGTAGGTACAAGACTGACAGGCAGAGAATGAATCTTATGCAAAGTAGAGAGGGAAAGGCCTAAAATCTAATGGACCAAGTGTGTGCATGAATTATGTGTATGTATGTCGGAAAAGTGACCTGATATTGGGTGTGGTTGTATAGAACTGAATGATGAGACACTGGTAGAACCAGTGAATGGAGATTATGTAACAAGAGTAGACTAGTTAAAATGTTTATGAGAACCATGACACTTTAGTGACCTAGGAAGCAAAAGGTTTGGCAAAGGAGGTCAGATGTGGTCCTTTTCAACTACAGCTCAATCAGCACCAGCCTTCACCAACAGAGTCACTATAGTGAAAAATTTATCAGTTTGAGAAGCTTGTTCATTCATCCAACAACATTTACCAAGTCCTTACTCCATGACACTACACTACAAGTACTCTTAGATACAAAAATGGGTACGACCCAGTCTCTATCCTCCACCAAAGTAAAAGTTAAGGATTTATTCAAACTCCTTAGCCCAAGACAGCTGTCAAAGCATGCCTATTATTATTTTGCAATTGCAATAGCTGCTATTTATTGAAGACTTTTTTGTGTCTGGCACTGTGCTAAAAACTTGTCAACCTAGAGTAATAATGAATCATGTGGTAAGAATGTTGTTGTTGTTGTTGTTGTTATGTGCTGTGGAGTTGTTTCTGACTCATAGTGACCCTGCACAGGGTTTCCGAGGCTGTAAATCTTTATGGGAGCAGAAAGCCTCATCTTTCTCCCGCAGAACAGCTGGTAGTTTCGAACTGCTGACCCTGAAGTTAGCAGCCTGATTCGTAACCACTACGCTACCAGAGTTCCTTGTGGTAAGAATGCTTGGGTTCAAATACCAGCAGTACCATTAATTGTTTGGTTAACCTTAGGCAAGTCACATAACTTGTGCCTTAGGTTCTTCAAACACATGATGGGGAGAATAATAGTACTTACCTCCTGTTGTTGTTTTTATGTGCCGTTGGGTTGGTTCCAATTCATAGTGTCCCCTATTATGCCCAACAGAATGAAACACTACCCAATCCTCACAATTGGTGTTATCTTTGAGCCCATTGTTGTTGCCACTGTGTCAACACATCTTGTTGGGAATCTTCCTCTTTTTCCCTGACCATTCACTTTTCTAACATCATGTCCTTCTCCAGGAACTGGCTCCCCCGATAATATGTCCAGAGTATGAAAGACAAAATCATGCCATCCTGGCTTCTAAGGAGCATTTTGCTTGACTTCCCAACACAGATTAGTTTGTTCTTCTGACGGTCCATGATACTTTCAGTATTCTTCTCCGACATCATAATTCAAATACATCAATTCTTCTCTAGTCTTCCTTATTCATTGTCCAACTTTCACATGCATATGAATTGATTGAAAAACCATGGCTTGGGTCAGGCACCTTAGTATTCAAAGTGACATCTTTACTATTGAACACTTTTAAAGAGCTCTTTTGCAGATTTGTCTAATAAAATATTTGATTTCTTGACTGCTGTTTTCCATGAGTTTCCCCAGTCTCTATCAAATCAGGAAAGTTTGTTCATTTATGATTTTAAATTTGTTCTGCATTTCCCCCCTCCCTTTTTGTTCACGACCTTCTACCTTGATCTTGATTAGAGTGGTTGGTATTGGTGACCAGGCACCATTTAGTTCTTCTAGTCCTGTGGACTAATTTTTTCCCGAGTCTTTGGTTTTCTTCACACTTCTTTGTTCTGGATGGAGCAAGACTAATAGTTGCATCTTAGATGGTTGCTCACAAACTGTAAGGTCCTAGTCTCTATGCAATAATGTAGGACGTAGAACATTGTCTTTGTGGACTATGTTATGCCAATTGACCTAGATATCCACCCCCCCAGACTATGATCCTAAATTTCCAGGCTCAGTGACTCATTCCCTCAAGGTGTTTTGTTCTGAAGCAAGAAGTTTTCAGAACTTTGCTATTTGTATGGTCAACCATATATCCTCATATATATTTGTAGCACATATGAATACATGTGTAGAAATATCTTCTGCAAACCTATATATACTTGTGGGTGTACTCCCATTCACCTTCAGAGGAAACAAGTTTCAGAGCAGTTAATTATTTACGGGCTCCTTGCCCATAATTTTTTGTTTAAAAAAAAATGGGGTGTTTATCCTACAGAGTTTTTTACATCTGGAGTTTTCTTAATGCATCTCTAAATATTATAACATGTTTCTATGTCCCCTTGTTGCTGTTGTTGTTAAGTGCCATCAAGTTGGTTCCTGTATAGAGTTTCCAAGGAGCAGCTGATGGGTTTGAACCATGGACCTTGTAGTCAACTGTTCAGTGATTACCCTACTGAATTCAGGGGACCGACTCTGGAGGAAGATCTTTGTTTCTTTTGTACTTCTGTTCCTAGGTGATTTTTATGTGGCTTGGCATCTATCTTCCCCCATCTCTGACTGCTTGCTCAATCTGCTTTTTATTATCAGAAGAGATTGATTTCGGCCACATTCTACACTGACATTGAGTCCTGGTGTGGCACTGTAGGATAAACACTGGACCACAATGTTGGTTTGAATGACACTTAACAACAACAACACTAACACTGCCTCATAAGCTTAAAAAAAAAAAAAAATCCAAATGGAATTATAACCACAGGTATTGTTATTGTTAATTGCCATGGAGTTGGTTCCAACTCCTGTAATGAATGTGAGAAGCAGCTGGTAGATTTGAATCATCAACCTTGCAGTTAGCAGTTCAGTGCTTATCCTACAGTGCCATACCAGGATTCCACAGGTATAACATCAGGTATAGAGGTTAGGACTTGCAACATATATTTTGAGGGGATGCAATTAAATCCATAACAGATGATATTTATAGACTTCTAGTAGTTGTTGTTGTGAAGTTCCATAGAGTCGGTTCTAACTCACAGTGACCCTGTATAGGGTTTCCAATGAACAGCTGATTAGTTTGAACTGCTGACCTTGTGGTTCAAACCGACCTTTTGGTCCA